TTTCTTGGACACTCCAAGACTCTCGGACATTCCCGGACTCTGCCGGACATTCCTGTTTGTCTCGGACGCTTTGTACTCTCTCGGCCACTCCCGGGCTTTTTCGGCCACTCCCGGACTCTCTTGGACACTCCCGGACTCTCTCGCACACTTGTTGACTCTCTAGACTGCTCCCGGGCTTTCTCGGACTCTCCCGGGCTCTTTAGGACACTCCAGAGCTCTCGCGGACACTCAATAACTCTCTTGGACACTCCTAAACTTACTGGACACTTCCGGATTCAGTCAAAAACTCCCGGAGCTTTGACACTCCCGGACTCTTTCGGACACTCCCAAACCTCCTCAGACACTCCAGAACTGCTTCGGATACTTACTGAAACTTCCAAAACTTTACAACTATGCCTAACTCTTCCCGATACTTTCTGTCTCCTAATACTTTCCGATCTCTCGTGACACTTTCCGAACTCTTCTCAACACTCCCATGTTCCAGACACTCCCAGACACATTCTGACAATTACAGATACTCACCGGCAAAGCAACACTTTCCAACACATCCCAGCATTTCGTCACACTCCTCGAATCTTCCTCATATTTACCAACACTTCCCGATTCTCCCCAGAACGTCCCGACATTCTCCGTCATTTCCCGACGCTCTCTGATATTCCTTGAAATTCCCCGGCAATTATACGAAATTTCACGACACTCCACGAATCTCCCCGACACTCCGCGACAGACTTCGACGCTTTCCAACTCTCTCCAACATTCCTAAACGCTTCTGTACACCCTGAAACCCTCTATGTAGAGCCCGACATTCTTAGACTCTCCCGACACTTTTAACATTCGCTACTTTCTGACGACCGACACGTCCCACCCCGACAGTCATCATCCCGGCTGATTCTCTCCGATACCTTTCGACAAACCGTCATATAAGTTCTGAAGGTTGTTACGTTGTTCTTTGTCGCAGGTTCTGGAAGAAAGTGTTCGTAAAGCTGGTGCATCAAGGCGACAACCCGGTGCTGCAGTTGTTCAACACGAAAGACGACAAAGACCCCTTCCAAGAGCTGCCCCTCCAGCCCTGCTACTCCGTCTCAGACATCGGTGAGAACTTATTGCTCACGAATTGAATTGATGACTTATTTTACGTGGCGAGACTTAGGCCATGAGGTCTGCTCTTCCGTCTGACCACGCCAATTTCGCTAAGCTGCTTTCACCAACTAGCGGAGAAAGGAGGTATTACTTTGGCGACCAGACACGCAATTTCAATTTAGCTCAGGGGCGTTATTTAGGCTTCAGGATCTTTCACTTTCAGTAAAGTTACTAACATGGGACAGCCGACTTTACTTTCCCTCTGAAGGAAGGCATACGAATATTTTTTTCGCCCTTCAAAATCCACGGCTTCGATCGGGTTTGAATGCGAACTTGAATATTACAGTCCGATACGCTAACCATTACACCATCGCCGCCGCTGACTGCCGTAATAGTCATAGAAGCTCAAGCAGGCATGGTCTCTTACATAGGCATTAGGCATTATTAAAAATCAAAATAAGCAAAACCAGTTAAAGTACACAGAGAAGGTAGAGGTAGAATCGAAAATAGATTCAGAAACTAAAATAGAATATTGTTTTTTATCATCATCTTTGGGACCTTCATCCCAAATGCTACCAAATAATTAGTTGCTGTCACCTCAGTTTAGGATACATAATGATGTATCAATTTCTTCTCTGTTAAATCCCTCTACAGTAATCTATCGTATCAACTTCAAGGAATCATTAAATCTAGCAAATGTGTAACTATTTGCTATAATTGACCAACAGTCTTTGTTCTATTGAATTCTTTGCAATTCAAATGCACAGCTCTAGTTGAAATTTTACATAATCATTTAGAGTGTAGTTTATAAAAATATTCTCATAAATTAAGTTAAAAAAATTATAGAGAAAGGGATATTCTTTGCACTCCAAGCAAGTCTTTTGTGCTAAAAACTTAATTAACTATGTTTTAGAAAGGATTATTATTTGTGGCAGAAAAAAACTAAATTATTTATTTCAATTTTTTTTGCATTTATGGGAATCAATATTGTAATAAATTTTGTATTGAAATATTGGTGGAAAATTTAGATTGGCCGGCATTCATCATCTGTTTATTGCAGACCACAATTAAACTTGCAATAAATGAGTTGAATTATTTTCATCAGCTACAGTGTATTTATTGTTTCTCTTATATTGACTGCAGTGTGTGTGCTTGTTCAGGGGCGCAACAGCTCGACCAATACGGCAAGATCTTCACGGTCAAGCTGCAGTACGTGTTCTACAAGGAGCGGCCAGGCGTGCGGCCGGGGCAGGTGACGAAGGCGGAACGAATCACCAACAAGCTGAGTCAGTTCGCCGCCTACGCCATCCAGGGCGACTACCAGGGCTGCAAGGAGTTCGGCTCCGACCTCCGGAAGCTCGGCTTGCCCGTGGAGCACGCGCCGCAGGCGAGTGACGAACGCGCGCGAACATGCGAACGCTCACGAACATGCGACCGCACACGAACATGAGAACGCACACCAACACATGAACGTACACGAACATGCGAACGCGCACGAACATGTGAAAGCACATGAACATGCGATCTTCTACGAACATGCGAACGCACACAAACATGCGAACGCACAAGGACATGCAAACGCACACGAATTTGCGAACGCACAGGAGCATGCAAATGCTCACGAAACCTACAAGTGCATACGAACATAAAAAAGCACCACGAACATGTGAACACACGTGAACATGCGAACGCATACGAAAATTTGAACATGCGAACACAGACAAACATGCGATCACAGATGGACATGCGAACGCTCACAAACATGCGAACGCACACAAACATGCGAACGCACACGAACATGTGAACTCACAATTATATGCGAACGCACACGAGCATCCGAACGCATACGAACATACGAACGTACAGGAACATGCAAACGCACACAAATATACGAACGCTAATGAACGTGCAAACGCACACTAACATCCAAAGACAGAAAAGATCTAACATCACTGATCAGACAAGCATACAAACTTTCGGGAATACACTCACTTATACATGAACACCACTGCCTCTGGAGTAAGCGTGAACATATTGACAAGACACAAACACACTAATCCGCATCAGTACATTTCCACAAAAATATACAAATGTCATTTTTACACAGTGTTATTGAATGCGGAGTCTCATGCTGAAACTATGCAAAAAATCAAGACCCCCAAACTAGAAGTATACGAAGCTCAAAATTGCATTTGCACAGTCTATTTATTTCAGTACATGTTGTACTGAAATAAATGTACTCCACCAGGGACTCGGTCAATTCACCAACAAATTCCTTCATTCTAGTACGAACATTTGTATACGTGCGTTGTACATTTGAATGTGTTGTTGAAGAATTAATAAAAGTTGATGAGGAGAAATAGAATTACCGTCATGATCTACACAAGTAAGATTGTGGATGCTACGGCTTTAGTGAGTGCGCAGCAAAACACTTCAAATGGATTATGACTTGGCTGCAGAAGAGAGATTGTGCATCATCACAACTGCATGTATAAGTAAAATAATCTCAACAGAGTAGCTGAGAACTCGAATCCGCCACGCCAATATACAAAATCTCACGAATCACACGAAACCCTTCCACAAAACTGAACAATTTCCGCAGGAAACATCCTTTAATGAACTATTCCGCCGCTGAAGGGGCTTGTATCAAACTGTACACTTTGTGTAGGCAAACTTGCATGCAAACTGCTCGTTTCTGTTCTGTAAGTATAATCTTCAAGAACATTATGCCGTGCAAGGGGGGCCTAAAGCGACAGTAGGAAAAGCAAGTTCAACCAAATCGCAGAGTTTTGTAAATATGTAGCATTTATTCCTCCAAAACGTCAATACAATTTTTACTGTTTTTGACAGTAAGTGAATAAATGTATGAATAAGGAAATAATAGGTAAAAAGGAGATAAATAAATAAAAACATATTTACTTTAGTGAAATGTACATATCATCCCTATTGTTTATTGAATTATATTGAAATGGTTTAGTTGCGTTCGGAGATCTTGTAGCTGTTTAAAAATAAATAAGTAAATAAAAGTACACAAAAATAAACTATAATTTCCTTTTGTCACAGCTACATGCATAATGAAGTTTGTGTTGTATCCTTGTCAGATCTCGCAGCTGTTCAAGCTGGGCTCGCAGGCGTACGAGGACCTGAAGCAGTTCTCGATGTGCGTGGAGGAGGCGCTGTTCCGCCTGGCGGCGCACCGCGACCGCGCGCTCTCCTACAAGACGGAGGAGGTGCAGGTGACGGCGGTGGACGAGCTCTACGTGGAGCAGGACGCCTTCGGCCGCGTCGAGAAGCAGGTGGCGCGCGTGCGCCTCTTCTTCCTCGGATTCCTCGCAGGTCACTCTTACTACTCTCTATCTCTCTCCCCACTCTCTCCCTCTCTCTCCCCCCTCTCTCTCCCCTCTCCCCTCTCCCCCTCTCCCTCCTTGCATCTCTCCCCCGTCTCTCTCACTCTTCTTAGTTCTCCTTCTCTCTCACTCTCCCTATTTTTCTTTTTTTCTTTTTCTCTTTGACTCTCTTTATTTCATTCTTTGCTTCTTTCTTGCACGATTGCACGGGCTCACTCTTTTTCTTCTTTCTTTTTCCCTTTCTTTCTTCACTCTCTATATCTATTTATTCTTCTCTCATCCTCTCCCTATTTGTCATTTTTTATTTTTTATCTGTCGCTCTCTTTATTTCATTCTTTGTTTCTTTCATGCCGCTTTTGCTTGGTTTCTCTCTTTCCTTTTCTTCTTTCTCTCTCTTTTTTCCATTCTTTCTTTCTCTTTCTTTCTTTTTTAACTCTACTAATTTTTCTCTCTCCCTCTCATTCTTTCTTCCTTTTTTCGCTTGATATCTTCGTTCGCTTGGTATCTTTTTTTCTTTTTCCCTTTTTTCTTTCTTTCTTTTTTGTATATATCTTTCTTTCCTTCCTTCTTTCTTTCTCTTTCTTTAGGTTTCTTCATTTCTCATGTGATCGCTCTCTCTCTCTCTCTCTCTCTCAAACTTCTTCCTTCAGTTACCTGATTGACGTGTGTGGTGGTGTGCGGCAGAATGAATCAATGAACAACCCTTTAAATCCAAGCAGTGGTACCCTGAATGTAGTGTGTGACAGAGTGAATCAATCGATCAATAATGTGATAAATCCAAGCAGCAGTTCCCTGAATGTGATGTGTGGTGGTGTGAGGCAAAATGAATCAATCAACAACCATTTAAATCCAAGCAGTAGTGCCCTGAATGTAATGTATGGTGGTGTGAGGCATAATGAATCAATCAACAACCCTTTAAATCCAAGCAACGACATTCCCTGGACGTGACGTGTGCGTGTGTGCCAGGCATGCCGGACGTGGAGCTGGGCATCAACGACCTGTGGCGCCAGGGCAAGGAGGTGGTGGGGCGGCACGACATCATCCCGGTGGTGACGGAGGAGTGGATCCGCCTGGAGGACGTGGAGTTCCACACGTGCGTGCAGCAGGACGAGTACGAGAAGTCGCACCTCATCAGGTGAGCGCGCCAACGGGCGTGCGCCGAAGGCGGCAACGGTCACGGGGGACGTGCCCCTGCTGACAAATTGGAAAGGGGAAACAATATTTCCACTCCGTGTTGAAAAATTCGAAAGGAATATATATTTCCAGTCTTTGATGAAAAACTAGAAATGGGAATCAATAAATATTTCCAATCCTTGATGAAAAATTGGAAAGAGGAATCAATAAATTTTTCCAATCTTTGCTGAAAAATTGGAAAGAGGAATCAGTAAATGTTTCCAATCTCTGCTGTAAAATTGGAGAGGGGAAACAAAAAATATTTCCAACGCCTGATGAAAAATTTGTAAGGGGAATAAAAAAATATATTCAATCCCTGATGAAAAATTGGAAATAGGAATCAGTAAATATTTCTAATCCCTGATGAAAATTTTGGAAGGGGAATCAATAAATAATTCCAATCACTGATAAAAAATTGGGAAGAGAAATCAATAAGTATTTCCAATCCCTGAGAAAAATTGGAAAGGGGAGTCAATAAATATTTCCAATTCCTAATGAAAAATTGGAAAGAGGAATCAATAAATATTTCCACTCCCTGATGAAAAACTAGAAATGGGTATCAATAAATATTTCCAATCTTTGGTGAAAAATTTGTAAGGGGAATCAGTAACTATTTCCAATCCCTGATGAAAATTGGGAAATGAGAATCAATAAATATTTCCAATCACAGATAAAAATCATGTTTGGAAAGTACCCTAGCTTTAGATAATAAACTCGGTGGAAACCGCACAAATTTTGTCGAAATCCATAGAGACGTGTAAAAAGTATTCTAGAAGACTACTTATTTTTATGGATACATTAGGTAATAGTAAATTACGCAAGTCGTTTATTTTGATATGCTTTATTGAACAAATACATGTTTAAAAAACCAGTGAAGTTAGGAGCGAGTTTTCAATTTTTTTAATGCAATAGAGCATTATAAACGAGTTGCATACACTATTTCTTTTAAACAGTATTATAGAGTTCTAGAAGAAACAAATTAATCTTGAATACAAATGACGAAAATAGACCTTGAATATAATGACGTCAGGGTCTTTTTATTTGGACGTTCGGGAATAGCTTTATTAGTGGTCATTACGACTCTTGAGGTCTTTATAAATGGACATTCTTATTTGTAAACGGGTGATGTGTTGCAGGTTCAAGCCACCAGATGCCTGCTACATCGAGCTGATGCGGTTCCGGGTGCGACCGCCACGTAACAGAGAACTGCCCTTGCAGGTCAAGGCTGTCATGTGTGTCACCGGTCATAAGGTGAGCCCCCACGTGGTTTTGCATGACTTGTTTGTTATGATCATGCCTTTATTTGATTCGTGTCTTTAGATGATACGGGCCTTTACTTGATTTGCGCCTTCAGTTGATTGTGCCTTTAGTTGATTCGCGCTTTCAGTTGATTCGGGCCTTTAGTTGATTCGTGCCTTTAGTTGATTCGTGCCTTTAGTTCATTCGTGCCTTTAGTTCATTCGTGCCTTTAGTTGATACGTGCCTTTAGTTGATTCGCGCCTTTAATTGATTTGTGTTGATCCGTTTCTTTAAAGTGCGACTCTTTAGTTTTGATGACTCGTAATTTTTAAGCAATACTAACATTTGAGGAATGTGTTTCTAGTGCGAGAGTAGTTGCATTAGATTCTCTTTCAAGAAAAGCGTTTTAAAATGGAATCCGTTTCCTTATCATGACCATCGATGCGCCTTTCCTTTTCTGGCCACGGATCCTTTGAAGAAACCCATTTCTTTTGATTGATTGATTGATTGTCTCGTATTTCCGAGTCAAGTGATATAGTCTTCGTCATGTATTATAGTCCCCAGTGAGGCACAGTCTCAGCACTTTGGCTGCTCTCTAAATAGTAGCCGCCGCTCTCTCTTCCCTTTCTAGCGTGACGTCCAGCGCTCTTTCTCTTCTCCCTTTCTCTCTCTCCCTTTCTCTCTCTCCCTTTCTCTCTCTCCCTTTCTCTCCTCCCTTTCTCTCTCTCCTTTCTCCTCTCTTCCTTTCTCTCTCTCCCTTTTCTCTCTCCCTTCTCTCTCTCCCTTTCTCTCTCTCCCTTTCTCTCTCTCCCTTTCTCTCTCTCCCTTTCTCTCTCTCCTTTCTCTCTTCCTTTCTCTCTCTCCTCCTCTTCTCCCTCTCTCTCCCTCTCTCTCCCTTTCTCTCTCTCTTATCTCTCCCTTTCTCTCTTTCTCTCTCTCTTTCTCTCCTCTTCTTTCTTCTCTCCTCTCTCTTTTTCTCTCTGTATCTTTCGTTCTCTCCCTTCTTCTTTCTCTCTCTCCTCTCTCTCTCTCTCTCTCTCTCTCTCCCGTGCTGGCGGGCCCGTGTCCTGCTTGCGCCGCTGCCGCTAGAGCGCCAACCTTAGGCGCGCTATCGTGCCGCTTCCGCCAATGAACGAACGTGTCTATGTGCGATAGGTGGGCTCAAGTGCGAGATCCTGGTGCCGGGCTTCAGCAGCCGGCCAAGCTGGGCAGGTGCCGTGCGAGGACGTGTGCGTGCGCTTCCCGGTGCCGAGTGCTGGATCTCACTGCTGCGCGTCGAGAAGCACTTCCGATACGGCTCCGTCAAGAGCGCGCACCGAAGGTGCGTACGCGCACGTGCGCCCTGCAACGTGCACTCGCGAACGGACACACTCAAACATGCGCACTCGATCATGCATACTCGAACATGCGCACTCGAACATGCACACTCGAACATGCGCACTCGAATATGCATACTCGAACACGCGCCACTCAAACACAAACACTCGAACATGCTTACTCGAACTTGCACGCTCGAACATGCACACTCGAAAGTGCACACTCGAATATGCATACTCGAACATGCACACTCAACATAAACATTCGAACATGCACACTCAAACGTGCACACTCGACATGCTTACTTGAACACGCACGGTCGAACATTCATCGCTTGTACACGGCACGCTCTAACATGTACGCATCACACCTCGAACACTCATACTGAACACTCATACGCAGACAAGCAGGCACAAACGAATATACACAGACGAACAAGCATACTTCGGACATAATAGTGGATAGGCACATTCGCAGATGAACATGTACACTCGTTCATCACAGATTGACCCTTTGCATAATCTCCCAACCCATTTCTTTGGTTTATGACTTGTTTGTAAGTTTTCAGACGAAAATATTTAAATATCAATTTTATACGATAATATTAAATGTAATTTTGCGGAAAAATATTTAGTTATAAGTTTCAGGCGAAAATATTTGAAATTGAACGTATTGAACTCGCCAATTGCATGCGTTTTCGACAATCTTTCCCCGAGCGCTTTGGTCTGGGGCGCGGCAAATGAACGCGCGAGCGCGCATGTCTTAGAACGGCAAGTGAAGAGGCATCGAGCGCTTCCTGGGCGCGTGGAGACGCTGAGCAGTCGCTGATGGAGTGACGTCGGGCAGGCCAAGTACGGCACCAGCACCGCGCCATCGTCTGGCGCATGCCGCGCCTGCCCAAGGAAGGACAGGGGAGTCGGCGCAGCTCGCGCTTAGAACGGGGTGAGGAAGTGGGGCGCAAAAGCTTTCAGTCTTTGCCGGTGAATCCTCTTGGATCTGTTTGAATCTCTCGGTGCTTCCACCCAAAGGGACTTTCACAGATCGTGTTACCCACCGACACGTCCTAAACCGAATCGTTCCTCCACGCATCTGTTCTCAAGAGACTCGTTCATCCACTGACACGTTCACCAGCGAGCTGTTCATGTGTGATGTTCATCCATCTCACTCAATTCCAGCTCATCCACCTCACGCGTTCATTCAGCGACTCATTCATTCAGCGACCCCCTTCATTTAGCGACCCATTCATTCAGCGACGCATTCATTCAGCGACCCACTTCATTCAGTGGCCCATTCATACTTCGCGACCCATTCATTCAGCGACCCATTCATCCAGCGACCCGTTCAAACAGCGACCCGTCCTTCCACAGTCCCGTTCCTCTATTTACCCATCCCCCACCGTCACTCGTACCTATATACGCCACAAGCGCTTTTTTAAAACCTGGCAGATGTAATGCTACTCCAAATCGTTCATGTTTACTGATTCCTCTGTCTGGTCTTCGTTTCCGGCGACTCTTATCCACCGAAACGTTTCTTCGATTGTGTAAGGCTGATCGACTTCCTCACCGACCTGTACATTAAATGAAATTTTCCTCCATCTATCCGTTCCTCAAAGCGACCATTTTCTTCACCAAACCCGTTTATCCTCTGATCCATTATCCCCATCGACCCGTTCCCCTACTGACCCGTTCCTCCATCAATCCCTTCCTCCACCGACCGTTTCCCTCCTAGAAACTCCCAACAAACCCATATTTTTTTCTCACTCGCTCCCCCATTATGTTCCCAATAATTCCGTCCAACCTATGATCTGTTCTCCAACGACTCGTTTCCCAAAAGACACGTTTTGTGCAGCGATCCGTTCCCGGCCACCGACACTATTGTGCAGCGATCCGTTCCTCCACCGACCCGTTCCCAACCGACCGTTTCCCCAACGACCCGTTCCCCCACCGACCCGTTCCCCACCGACCCGTTCCCCACCAAACCTGTTCCCACCAACCCGTTCCCCCACTAACCCGTTTCCCCACCGACCCGTTCCCCACCATCCGTTTCCCCACCGACCCGCTCCCCACCGACCCGTTCCCCCACCGACCCTCCCCCCACCGACCCTTCTCGCTAACACGCGTCGTGTGCGTTGCCCAGGGCGTACACGACACACAGCTTCGTGTGCCGGCTGGGGCTGACGTCGTTCGACCAAGATCCCCGAGCAAGCTGGCCGAGTTCGCTACGTGGAGTTCACGATGCCGGCCACGCAGTGTCGCACACCACGTGCGCTCCCCTGTCGCTGGCCAACCCGCGCGCGACGACCCGCCCGAGAAATACGTGCGCTACCTGGCGCGCCACGAGTACAGGTGAGCCACGCCCCCCGCCCCCGCTCGCGCACCGGCTGCACACGGAGGACAGACAGACACGGCAT